TCTTTCACAGCTCATACAGGAAGATAACAAAGAAAGTCTCGCTTAAAATAAATCTAGTAGATCATTGACCCTAACCACTATGCGTTAGCTGTTCATATGAGACATTTTATGAAAAGAAATCCCATGTTTAATTTTAGCTTTGGCTGGAAGACAGTTAAATTTGCAGTGTACAAGACATCACAGAAAAAGATTGCGACCACTTACACGTTCTACTACAACTGCCGGTTAGCTGCTTCGTCAGCTTTTCTTTTTAAAAGGTTCCCGCTATACAAACCTTAAATGTATTATAACATCTATGAGGTAAGAAAATTAAGTAGAAATAGTGGGGAGAATCAGGAGGAATGTTTTGGGTCACTTCAGAATGGCGAAAATAGAAGTGGTAATTCTGAAACTGAAAAAGAAACAGATCACTGAAATTAAGGAAGTTCCGAACCGGCAATTGCGCCACCTACAGCAGCACAAATCCCCGCTATGGCAGAACCTGCAGCAATTCCAACAGGTCCACCTATTGCAACGCCACCAACCGCTGCAGCAAAAAGTGGCGCCTTAGCATGGCGAGAAGCTTGAGCTTTCTTTAGTTGTTTGTGCCCTTCCTCAACATGATGCTTTGTTCTTTCAACATGTTCTTCGATACTATCAACCATTTCATGTTGGGTCTGAAAGCAATGTAAAAAGTATAAAACGCAGATTAAGAAAACATCAAAGAGTAGAAAAATTAATGGGGAAAGAACTTACGTGAACCAGCTGTCCCAACTGTACTATTATTTCATTTAGGTCCTCAATGTTCTAAAGCATTAAAAGATGAGGAGATTACATTTGGACAAATTTCATTCATGCTTGCAGTAGTAAAAAACAATATAAATATGAGAAGAAATTATAACAGGTGAAGCCAAGAGACTGCAATTTTCAAAAGTAATGAGTGGGTAAATTGAACAGTTTCAAAAAGATTCACTGACAGTAGCAAGTCTCTTCGTCTCCTCAGCGTCTTCTCTGGCCTGTTCGACGCGAATTTTCAAGGCTTCAGATTCTAATTGTCGCTGAGAGAAGCCGGTCTACACGAGAAAACCTTGGTAAATAACTTCACAAGAACTCCATAGATAAAAAAGAAACTACACCACAGTCTCGTGGCACAACAGATGCCGGAAAATCAAATAAGTATACTGGCAGTTCTGTTTAAGCCTTTACATGAAAGCTTTATCCTTAAGTTGGTTGCTGGCCTAATTCTTGTCCTCTGTTAAAAGAACATGAAGAAAACTGGATATCTGCCATCATCTCAACCAGTATAAAAAATTCTTTGAAGATGTAACAAAGTCAGTAAGCAACGTATCTGTTGCCGCCCATATCTCTATTAAACCAATAATTTTTTACCATTTTTAGTGAAAAGAAGAATTGTTTCAGTCAGGAACAACTTAAACACTTTAAATACGAGCTGAATCTTCATTACCTAAGGAATTTCTTCAAATTACAATTTTAACCAAATAAGCATGGTTTTCGCCAAAGAAAATCGCTTAGACGAAAAAGCTGTGGAAAAATATAACTTTTGTTTTGATTACTGCTAATATCAAAGAGACTTCTGTTGGAGGAACCGGAGTAAACTGTAAAGAAGTAATAGCTGCTCTTCAACATCTGTTCAAATGAATCTTCACTAAAAATTGCTTGAAGGTACTTTAGCTTGTGCTACCATTATTCAAAAACCATTTTTGTTGAACGGGACTGCAGGCTAATAAAGTAAAATAGAAACATCCTTCTAAAAAAACATGAATACTCCTCGCTGTATTAAGAATGTTCTGCGGCAGTAAGAAATGTGACTAAAATAGAAAAAAACTTCAACCTACATATGGAGAGTAAAGATAGGAAAAACGAATTACTACCTCGCTGTTTGAAGGGGAAGCTTGGGCTTCATACATCTCACTATAGATATTCTTCTCTTCTCCTACAACTTCACTGGAACAAAGTTCGTTAAGGGCACGAATAGCTGCAGTAATTTTGATTCGCAGTGGTTCAACTTTCGTATCAAAACGGTCCAAGTCACTGGACTTCAATTTGCGACGAAGTTCAAGAATCTGCTTCAACCAGTCTTGTAGCTGGTCAATTTTGCGAGTCACATTCCTCCTATTCGACATCACGCCTTCCCAATCATTAGCCCGTTTGCTCTGAAAAATACTTTTTAAAAACCTTATGTCATGAATAATTAATGTTTTTGGTACAAAGAGTAAGCAGAAAACGAGCTTATTCAGATTCCATATGGGAAATTTTTGTTTTGAAAATTTACCCCGGCTAAACACTGGTGCAACTGGTTCAGTTCTCGAAGGTTGGTTTTAGTCATTTGTTCGAATCTACTAATTATTATCTCAGCTTGTTCCCAATTTATCATGATAACAATGAAACCTTGGCTTTGTTTAACTGTTAGACCTTCAGCGTAGGAAGTGTAGTTAACTAAAAAAACATAGCCGTTAAGTAGGAGGGGCCCGACCGGCAAACCCTACTGCTGTTACATGAGGAATAGTGGTCAAAACGCCAGGAGAATCGCCGACCATATTAATGCTCTGAATTCGCGAGAAGTAGAAAGTAATAAATGCTCCTAAAAGACTGGGAGGAGAGACCTCTGATTAACACTGAAATGAGCGCTTATCACTTCGGTTCAAAATGAAAAGAAGCAATGCGTGACAGCCACTTTGTTCGTTGTGGGTCGTTTATGCAAAATTTACCACTGCTGTGTAAGACAAACATTTCTTTTGGAGAAGGTACACTCCACAGCTGCAACCAGTAAAATATGAAAAGTTTACGCTCCCAAATTGTGGCGATAGATGGCAGATGCAACAATGAGTCATTAACACTTCCA